GGCCATGCCAGCAGCAAGGGGGCTGGGGCATGGCTGGCTCGGTACCAGCCAACAGTGTGTGCACTATGGGAAACCCCAGGGTCCTCTCAGACCTTGTTAATGTCCCCTTTCTGCAGAAATGTGTGTCAGTCATGCAAAGTGTGTTAGAAAAACCTTTCCTTCTTCTCTGCTTTTGCTTTGTTCCTGCATGGTAGCCTCTTTTTCCCACAAAGAATGTTCCATAAAGTTGATGGGCCACCTACCTGAGAGCTGACACGGGTCTTTATGTAAGGTAAAAAAACAGGCTCAAATATCAACTTCCAGACATAGTTTCCAAATAAGAAACCCTGTAGGAGATGGATGGCTTTTCATAAGGTTTGATTGTCCCCAGGTCCTCAACACACAGTGCCCTCATTAACAAATTAAAGAATTTTTTTGTCTCCTCTTGTCAATATTGTTCCCACTGGAAAAAGTATTGTTTCTGTGCCCGATTAATCAATTATTTTTCTGACAGGGTTGCCAGATCACAGGGCAATTAAAATTTTATGTGTAGCTTGGGCTATTCTCACTGCCTTTTGATGTTTCAGGTAAGAAGGGAGAATAGAGTTGTATCATTTTAGCACTTTTTATATCTCTCTGAAGAAATTATTAAGGTATTTGCAAGGTCAAAGTGATAAAGAAACAGTGAGAAACAGTGGGAAACAGTACCATTGATGGTGTCCTACGAATGTAATAATGTTCCATACAATAATTTTTCACAACAATGCAAACTGTAATTAAGGCTGCAAAATAGTTTTCTTCTATCATCTCTGTGTTTCAATTTACTTTTTAATTTGCTGAGTTTATTCTTTCCCTGAGCATGCAGTGCCATCATTGTCATTCAGTGACGGGCTTCCCTTCTGAAAGCAAAACTCAGACTGCATCATTTTTCAGAAATCTGGAGCCAGACTGAACTCTGCTGCTGAACTCTGAAGCCTGTGAGGCCCTGCAGTGAGGATTATATGCTTATCTCAGTTAAGAAGGATTTAGCACCATCGGGAGCATACAGAGATTATCTACTGAGCTAATGCAAAAAACTGTGATAATCTGTGGAAGAGGTGGTTTGTGAGGTTCTTGCCATAAACCCTGGGAACTCAGGGCATGTGCTGGGTTTGCTGGTGGCACTGTGAAGGACATTAAATGTGCCCACCTTTATTTATATGGAAGCCTTTTTCTTGCATTCTGCTGTTGTTAGCTGGGGTCTTGGATGTGGATTGTTAATTGATAACAATTTGCCAACTACTTAGGGATTACATTCCTAGCCACAGACCTGATAACCAAACTGCTGCTTAGGAAACCCCAGAAAAGAAATGTGTATTGTGTATGGGCCTATTGGAATTGGCAAAGTTGTTTGAGACAGTGGTTGTGCCTCTCCCTCTCACAAGGTTTTCTGTCATTGAAGTATACCTATGTCAATGATGAAACTAAGGAAATACAGAGATACAAAAAGGTCCCCATCTTTCTACATGAGAAACATTTCTGTGCTTCAGTCCATGTGTTTGTTTTCCTCCATTTTTAAACTGTATTTTAAAAACCAGAAAAGTCTAGGATAGGAAATTATTTTTCCACTGTATTACTTACTGAAGCCAGAGAATTAGAAGAACATGTAAGGTCATCCATTGAAAGCTGTAAGCTTTAGCTTAGTCCGCCAGCTGTAATAACCTCATTGTTTGCACATTTCATATATTTACTCTGATTATAATCATGGATGCTGTAAATAAATCATGTCAGTGCTACCTAATAATCTAAGTAAATTATCAAATTTGAAGGCTAACTACAATGAATGATGCTTTTTCTTGTTTAGACAGCATAAACTAAACACTTTCTACCTGGTAGTTTGCTTATTTAATTACTTATTTACTTATTTATTTATACCTACCAGTTATTGATAGGAAACCGCAAGGGCTGTATGGAAGGTTTTTTGGTCTGAGAGGAGTTCCAGTCATCTCCTTTTTCTTTTCCCCAATTTTCTGCCTTGCATCTACAGGAAAGTAGCTGAGACAGGGAGTCTCTAGCATTTCTTGCTGTGGTTGCCACTGGGAAAATAATCTTCCTTTTCCTGTCATCTTACATGTATATTCTTACCAGCTATTAACGAATATGCCCAAAAGACAAATATAGCTGTAATTAGCAACCCCCGCTAGTCATGACGAGACTTGCTGTGCGTTGCACACCTGATCCACAAAGACACCATCTATGTTTTACACCTCCTCTCTGGAGACACCCACACGTCCCAAACAAAAACACAAATCAAGATCTCTGCAGGGCTTGGCAGACAAGCAGCCGGAGATCCCGAATTCCTTAGGAGCGATACCAGAGTCCCAGCAAAAAATTCACCTCCAGCTCCTTCCTGCTCACTTCTTCATTTCAGCCCACAGGAGAAAGTCATTTGCTTCAGCTGAAGGAAAATAATTAATTAAGAACTAATTTATTTTAATGGTTAGGGGCTATAATGTCTGGTCACTCTTTTTTCTGCTTCTTGGCAGAAACTGGCTGGTTGAACATGTCTTCATAGGTGTCAGCTAGAAAGAAGAGTGGTCTTGGCACTAGTAGACCCCTTGTTGTGTGGATGGGATTAATGATGACAGATAGCATGGTGCAGATATAACATACCATGCCTGAAAACTGACAGCAAGCCCAAGAGCAGCCTGGCATATCTTGGCAGATAACTCCAGGTATCTCCCCAGCTGAGTACCAGAGACAACTAACACAGGTTAACAGGTTAACCTGTGGCCCTACTGCCAGAAACTTTCTTCATCTCCCTCTCCCCACTCCCATGTTCACACCTGCGTTATAAAATAAGGGGTTTGAGTTTTAACACCAAAGGAGAAAAAGACCCAACCAACCAAATAAATAAAACCAACATAAATAACATACCCAGTTTATGGCAGTATACTTGAATAGGAGAATGAATACCAAAATTTAACTTTTTTGATACTGCAATTTGTGGGAAAATTCTCCCCTGGAGTTCTAATCTAGCACTTTAAAATGGCTTTTTCCAGTTAAAAGAAGTATTTCCCATATGCTTGACATATTGCTGCATAAAATGAAGGAATGCAGAGAGGGAAAAAGTATGTTTACATACAAAATATACCCCACATGCATATTTATATTAAGAGAGAAAAAATATTTTATTTATGTATGTATAACTTGACACGTTCAACATTTTATGTAAATAAATGCCAAATGAAGAAGATTGTATGGAACATTAGTGGGCTATACTTCCTCATTTACATTTTTCAAATCTGGCTATGATTGCATACAAGTACCTCAAACAGTGAACATCTGGATGGCTTGAAAGCAACTGAAGCATGGTTTTTGCTGTAAAATAGACTCTTACTGTAAAGCTACAGATTCAACATTTACTGGTGAAATTTTTGATTCTGAGCAGCCTCAGACCAGATTTATAATAAATGTGATAATTTAGTAGTATCAGTGGGGCCTTAATAATATTAATATCTGAGGTCTAACAAACTCTTTTATAATTAGGGTGTAGTTTAACATACATATGCATTGAGACAATATCCTTGGAACTTTTCCAGGCAACTGCACTGCCACAGACAATGCCTTCATCCAACATCATGTTTGACACTTTATACAATGAAATTACTATTTTCCATTTCTTACCTCCAGATTTAGGACTGATTTTTCCTTATTTAGGACTAATTTATCTCTGATTCTCTTTTGTTTCTAGGTTTCAAAGTGCAATTTCCTGCACAAACGAATATACTCATGATTCAGGTTGTCCACCCACCCACCCAGTTACCTGTCTGAGCTAGCCCAATTGCTGGAAGGAACACATAAAGCAAGTTCATAGCTTGATGCTGGAGTGATATAATCTTTGCTTAATCTACTTAGTATTTAAAACTGTAAATGTTACCAGCTATCTCAAATACTAGAGCACTGCTCTCATATAAGTTGTATGCTTGAATGTGGCACAAAGCAGTAATTGTACTCTTCTGGGAGGCTAAAAGTTTCCCAGTGTCTGAGACATGGAAAATTGAAAGAATATTTTACATCTGGTAGGAGCAAAATGTTGCAACTGTATCTCAAGCACTTGCAATTTGGAGCTCTAAAACCCTCAGGGCATGTTATGTGCTGCAACAATATAATTAAATAGGTTGTATCATGCTAAAAAAAAACCAATTTGAGCCTCCTTTTCCTGTCTCTTTTTTCACCTTAGAAAGAAATCCAGTAATTGAACATGGAACATTAGCTCTTATTAAAAATTAATCATTTTAAGAAACTAAATAAGTTAGCATATGTGTTTGTAACATAGATTTCAGCCTTTCTTTTTCCCAACTGTTTCAATAGCTTTTTGAATATAAGGTTTGGCTCCTTCCTTGGGTTTAACATCTCAGATCTGCAGTTTGCGTATCAAGAACAAAAAACAGCCGATGCTTGCTAAAGAAAGGAGAGCAGCTCTGGGCTTTCTCAGTGCATCCACAGGAGCTGGCAAGGAAAGTGTAGCCCTGCTGATGTTCTGACTGCCCACACTGCTTGCCATTGGGTCACTCCCCAGCTCTGCTTTGGCTGCTCCATACAGATCTTTCCCAGACAAACCTGATGGAATGTGGTCAAGCACTAATTGGTGTGGACACAAGCTGGGCTACTTCATTTCAGTGATCAAGACTACCTCCTTCATTTAGTGGTCAATATGCAGCCCTCCATTCCCTCATGGGAAGATGTCTCAAGCAAGCCAAGATGGTTCCTCATCTTTTACAGATTTTTGTAAATATGGCAAGAGTGGATCCCCTCCTGCCATTATCTTCTCAAAGAGAGGAAAGAGATGTGCAGAAAGGGGGTGTGGTGCCTGTGTGTGCACAACTGCACGTGCACATCTCCCCCTCTCTTTGTTTAGACCTCTGGGCATTGCTCCCATGTAACCTTTGTTCTGCTTATGAGCCCTTCTGTTCTTATTTTGGCAACACACACAAATATTTACTCATGTTCATAAACAAACACCAATTCTATCTTTTCAGGTAAAATATCAAGAGAGCATGGCTCACCTGGGTGAACGTAAATGGACTCACGTGTTCCCTTTCCTGATGGTAGGTATTTCTGTGTATTTCTGTGTGCACATGTCTCTATAGTGTGCAAAGATAACAGGGTTCTGCTTGGGTTATTCATAACCACCCGTGAATGGTAGCAGACCCACACATGACCTAGGGACTGAACCTCAATGTAGATAATTTTCATTCCATAAAACGCCTGAGAATGTGCAGTTTAAACCGTGGCTGCTAGGAAGGAGGAGAAGGAGAAAGACCTAGGATGGAGCAGAGACAGAAAGTGCTAGAAGAGCACATTAGCGTGGCTGTGACATGAAGCACAGCCCTATTGTGGTTGAGGCCTGAGGCAGTGCATTATCTCTGGTTGTTATAGTTGTCCCTTGCAGTCACATTTATGAAGGCTCATTTAGAGCTGGGAGTCATGAGGGTGTGAACTCGGGCATTTGCTTGTGTGGGAGAGCATGTGAGTTACAAGGTCAGGAACTGTGACCTTCAGTGTTTTAAGGAGTGGCAGTGCCAAACAAGCATGAATGTCAGTCTCTGAGAAACTCTTGGAAATACCAGGTTGCTGAAACCTGCATCTGTTTCCATTTAAATAGTGTCACCACTTCTGCTTCTGAGCTTCAGGTGTTTCACTCTGCAGTGCTGGCCCTGCTGAACAGCAGCAAATGTGCAAGGGGAGGGGGTAAGGCATGGAGGACGATGGCAGTGGAAGTGACAGTGCTCTGGAATGCTCTCTGGTGACAGGTCTCCCTGGTGTACTCTGCCAGTGCCGAATACTCCAACTGCGGTGAGAACGAGTACTACAACCAGACCACTGGCATGTGCCACGACTGCCCCAAGTGCGAGCCGGGTGAAGAGCCTTACATGGTAATGCCAGCTTCTTCTGCTGCTGGGGGAACAAATCAAGCACTAAATGCAAAAAACCCAAATGCTTTGTTGTGTGGAAGTAATAGGTAGGAAAGGAAATAGGAAAGCTGAGGATGCCTAAGCAGGAGCACTCACACCTCCAAGTGTGCCATGGGAGTGAGGCACCTTGCATGCACGCCAGCAACCCATATCCCAGGAGCAGCCTGTTAAAAAAGATACTGTAAAAATGGAAAGGTTAAAGTTCCATACACAGTCTCTGAGTCTGTTCTCATCTCAGTAGCTATTTAGAATCTGATGCTGACATTCCAACACAAAGTGATAAATTGGTCAGTCTGGCTTGCTTGCCCTCACACTGACAAGTTACTTTTGCTCTCCTGCTAAGATATTCTGGCACTAGAGGAACTTGGATGTTTGGATGTTTCCGCAATATTTTAAATTATGGTTCCCAAGTAACCATTTGATTTACAGTAGGTAATTATTGCTTATTAGAAAAAAAAAAAATTACTGAAATCCTGTTTGTTTTTAATGGGATAAACATCCTATTGCAAGCATTTCACACAGTTGGTAGTCCCAAACAAGTATGTTTGAATAACCAGTTTGGTTTAGTTTTATTTAATCTAAATGCAATGTTCAGCTGGGACATGTGACTTCAGAGGTTACAAAATCTTATTCAAACATTGCCTTTTGGGTTCCCTCTGGGGTTTCCTAACCTGAAACTGCTGATAGCCCTGCTGCAGCTGTGTTTCTCCTGTAGGAGTCATCGCTATTCTTCCATTTTCAGTTCACTTTCTATCCAAGCAGCATCTGAAATTCACTTCCACAGTTTGCTGGATTATGGTAGAAGTAGTATGGGGGGGCCACTCACAAACAGTGTGATTCTCCAGTTCCCCTTCTCCCTTTCCAGCACACAGAGTGCTGCATCCTCATATCCCTGCATGGTCTTTTTAGGATAGACACTAACAGGCCAAAGGACAGACTCCTTTCCCTTTGTGCTGCAAGGCCAATGGGGCAGGCTGTGAACATTCTCTTTTGCTAGAAGTTGGTGTGCAGCACAAGACTGCTTTTGAATGACTCTGTGTTATTGCAGACATGTGGATATGGCACCAAAGATGAGGACTATGGCTGCGTCCCCTGCCCTTCTGAGAAGTTTTCCAAAGGAGGTTACCAGATATGCAGACGGCACAAGGACTGCGAGGGCTTTTTCCGAGCCACAGTCATGACACCTGGGGATCAGGAGAATGATGCGGAGTGTGGTCCTTGTCTCCCAGGGTAAGGACTTATCCACGGACCTCTGCTCTACCCAAGGAGAGGTAGAGGAGGTATGGGATACTCCGTCTACTGGGAGGTACTTTTCAGATGTCAAAATCTCTGACAGCCTTTCCATGTCAAAGTTGACTGTAGGTACAATACTGGTAAATTATGGTTTTTCATCTCTACTAAAACAATACATTTAAATATTTCAAAAGCATTGGTGAGTTTAATAAACACAGAATCGTAAAATAGTTAGGCCTGGAAGGGACCCTAAAGAAGATGTTTTTAATCTTACTGAAATCTCACTGTTTGGAACAACTAGATAACTTTTTCTTCTTACTAGAAATGGAAAGCAAACAAGCTCAGCTATGCAGTGCCATTTTAAACACTCAAAGAAATCCATCTTGACCTCCAGCTGTAGCTTCAGAGGGTCACCTTCTGAGTCCTGCCTCCTGCATATGAGCTGCATGACAGCACCTTAAATACCCTGTATGGTTTATGCTGGCACTACAGCATGTCTAGGGGCATAAAATATCACTTCTCCAGATGTGAACAGCTGGCATATTTGTCAGTAGTTGACAGTATTAGCCAACATAGCTGTTCAGTGAGATTTACCAAGGCATTTTAGTCTCTGGGGTCCTTTCTACACAACATAATGGAGTCTGAGGAGCTGTTAATGTAGTGTTGTTCAGAGTAAAAACAAGTTTCAGGTCTGGCTGAAGGGGCTTAAAATAGGTGCTGTTTATTAAGTCCATCTTTGTAATGGTCTCTTACACTCGGTATAATTCTCATTATAATGGTGAGAAAGAAATTGCTACATTGGATATGTATATCCTTGACAATATTACATCTGAAAGTCTGTAAACTCAAGCATATATATGCACTCTTGATGTTTTTTTGTAGGGTGATTAAATACTCTAACATACAACCTCACCTTACACACCTTTTCAGCTTCTGCCACTATTCCTCTTTGGTTTAGAGAGTAATTCCTACTGACATTTGGCTTTTGTGCAGTTTGCAGACGCTGCATAACCCACACCCCTTATAGCACAGGAAGCCCTGTTAAAGAGGCCCTGCAAGCTTCCAGGTTTATTTTATCAGTAAGTCTTTGTGAAATTTTCACAGTTTACAAATAAAATGAAGGACTTGTCTAGCTGCCAGCCAAACAGACTGATGATGTGACTTGAAAAAACTCCCTCTTGACTTCCCCTCATACATCATAAAGAGCAAGAAACTTAAATAGTGGTCACAGTTGCCGTTTTGCAATTCTTGTCAGGACTAATGAGGTCACACAGGTGGGAGCAGAGTGCTGGCTGAAAATAATCAGCTTGCACAGCTGGTGCTTGGGGAGAAATCTCAAAACATCATGTTTGCACAGGTGTGGCCTGTAGCAGAAACTGGTCTGCCGGAATCTGGCTGTGTGCCGCTCCTCCTGCAACGCTCAGGTCCTGGGATTGTTTGGCAAAGCCAGCAGTAAGAAGAAACACCCTCTCAGCCCAAGCTTGAATAGATGGAATTCTCTAGATAAACTAAATATGAGCTAAAACAAGCTCTGAAGCTGCCCTGACTCCTCATGCTACTTAGAGTCCTCAGACACTGCTCCTGTGTGCTGGTGGGTGAAATGCAGAGCTTGTGTGTCAGAGCAGAGAGCTGGTGAGTAGCTGATTGTCCTTATTGTCCCCTGTGCCACAGGGACAGCCAGGTACCAGGGTGAGTGGCAGCTGGCAGGGTGCTCCATTGCCTGGGCAGTAAACCTCAGAGAGCCCCTGAGCGGATGGCAGGGACAAAAACAAGGTTTCCATTTTTAGAGGTTTGCTTCCATAAACAATGCAGACCTGCCCAAGGTAACAGCCCACATGCTGCTGTTTGCACTTAAGGACATCTCATCCCTTTGCTATTTTTCACCAGCTCAGTACAGAAGCCTGAGGAAAAGATGAGCATATGGCATATTCTGCACAAAAGTTTTCAGGCAAAATACTACTGAAGAGGCAGCCATTCCCAGTGGTTACAAGAGCCATCCTCTGTATTTTATCTTAAAATAAGTGCTGGATAATTATATATTTTGCCTTCTGGTTTTTTTTTTTTTTTTTTTTTTTTTTTTTTGTTTTTTGGGGTTTTTTTTGGTTTTTTTCACTATTACTGATGACCAATTTTAGGGAAGGAGGCCTTTGGTACAAGAGGAGAGGTCATCCACTGCTTCTTTGTATTCCCTTTCATATAAAATAGAAATAACACTGTCATGCTCACAGAAGTGTGCAAGACAGGGAAGATTTTAAAGACTTAGTTCCAAAGCTGTGATCCTCAAAACCACAGTTCAGTTGCCAATGAACTATAGAGGTACCTAGACTGAACCTCCTGGGACACTGCAGGCTTTGTCCTCTGCTCCCTGCCCAGAAGCTCTTCTATCATGCCAAATAGACAGGTTAAGAATGTGGAAATTAGGTGTGACTCAGACTATTTCCCTTAATGGGGTGATCCATTAGGTGTTCCTGGAGTGAGACTGAGATCACACCTGACTACAAGCAGGTCAGAGCAAGGGTTCCTCTAGCCTGGTTGTCTGTACTCATTCAGTAGTGGCCATAAGGAGTAAGAACAGGTCAAGTACAATAATAACACATATTCCTTATGCTGTCCCAGCACCTATTTTCAGCTTGGGATAAGTCTCCAGTCCCCTCACAAGATAGAATTGCAATGGGATCATTTTCTTTTTAAATGCAGTCAGAAATTCCTCTTCTACTGACATTTTCCCATTTCCTGTGTTTGTCCATGGCCACAGCAAATGCAGGATCAGTTTTCTGAGAGGTTTTAAGAGAAGGAGTGAATGCGCCTCTGTTTTCTGCATGAAAAGGTTTAGCCAGTTAATTTCTAACTGGCTAAATTTCTAATTTCTAAGTCCCACCCTTGCTGCTCTGGATAAGGCAGCAGATGCCTCCACCAAAGATACTCCTCCTTGATGTCTCTCTGTAGACTGCTCCCTGCTGAGGACAACACCCAACCCTCTCCACCTCCTGCCACAGTCCCAGGCTCCTTGTTATGGTGGGAGGGCAGACCTAAATCTGGGTCCAAGTCCCTGAGTCTGAAATGAGACCACCAGGGTTAGGCCAAGATAAGCCAGCATGGTGTTAAGCAGGAGAATAAGTCCATTTTTCAGTCTACCCTCTATTCTTGGATTTTGTCTGTAGCTTCTCCAAACCTGAGCCTGGCAGGTGCAGGGAAAGAAAGAATAAACATCATAATGTAAGAGTAATACTCTGCAAATTTATTTTGTCATTAGCGGGTCACTTCTCTGTAGTTGGTGATATAAAGCTATCACATATTTCCAACATTACCTTTAATATCTGGTGCTTTGGAAAGTAACCAGAAACACAAATCTGTTGCCAGTACTTTGTGGGGATGAGTCATCATGCTTGCAACTGCAGAGTTTCCTACTCACATGAGTGAATGGTTGCCTTCCATGAGTATCCTTTTCAGTTTTCTTTACATGTCCTCCACCATTCTGCATTGTGGTGAAAACCAAGAATTCTTCCACCAATTTGATTGAATTAATTGTCAGAAGAATTGTTTGTCTTTCCTAAACCAACACAGCTATTGGAGTGGATCCTAACTGTCCTGTATTTTTCTTCATAGATTTACATGTATCTTTGGGCTTCCACTCCTTTTTTATTTTTGTGGTTTGACAGCCTTTTCCTGTGTATTTATTAACTGCTTTACAACCTAAAATTATGTAGGTCCCATAAGAGAAGAAAGATGAAGTTTTGCTCCTGAGAGAATGGTAGAGTGGCACATGAGACACAAGAGATATTAGAAGGATGAAGTGAGGGTGAATCTTTTAAAACCAGTAAGAAAGAAATGAGGAAATATGTGTAGCTCCCCTACTCTCTGAGTTTGCTCCAGTCCCTGCCTCCCCCTTTGCATCTCTGTGTATTCCATTTCCTAGACCTGTATCTCTTATTTGTCATTCATTAATACACCAACTGGTTTTGAACCATTTCAGCAGTGATTTCCTAACAATGCATGCATTTTCCAGAAAAAACCCATACTTCACATGCATAGGCAGGTATATAAGAGCAGAAAACAGATCCCCAGTTGCATAAAGTGTTTGAAATGTTGAGTTCCTGTCTGCACAGAATAGATTAAGAATTTATTCATCTCTTCATTAAAATATGTAGTGATTTACAAGTGATTTGTAAAGACATATCTGTAACATCAACAGTATGATGTTACATCAACACATGTATGATTCTGATGTAATTACTCATTAGGGTGAATGTGGATCCAGCTCTTGAGTAGCCAATTACCATATTTCAACACTAACTTTATTAGCAGCCCAAAAGTTCAAATTATGAAAACCTTTCCTTCACACTTTAATTCCACTAGTTTATAGACTAGTTTATAAACAATACAGCAAGGAAATTAAAAAAAAAAAACAAAAACAAAAACAAAAAACTGTAAAACCTAATCTGCCTTGCTCTGTGAAGGCATTTTTTCCCTGTATTTTTTATTATGATCTGGCTCAGATTTGGTTCTAAGATTACAAAGATTATTATTACGGTGTTTGTGAGAAAAATTAGCTAACCATATCTGACTGGTGGTCTTGCTTGAAAGATTACTGCTTCAAAAAACTGCATTCTCTTACTTTGAAAAATCTTATATCAGGGCATGCTGTAAACTGCTGCTTGAACTCAGCAGGGAAACTAACGTTGTTTTAGGCAATGTTACCACATCTTGTCATGTCTAGATGTTTGATTAATTACATTTTAGGAGGAAAGGAAGAAGAGAAGCAAACTGTCTATTCAGGCAATTTGAAAAAAAAATATCTTTGCCTCAGACTGCTTATAAAAGTTTTTTTAAATGATTTTATCTCCCTATAATTGGTTGCTGCTGAACCATGTTCAGTCATATCATATTAATTTGTGCTGTTTTGCCTCTTCTTGCCTTTCACTGCAGTTACTACATGCTAGAAAACAGACCTCGGAACATCTACGGGATGGTTTGCTACTCGTGCTTGCTGGCACCTCCCAACACCAAGGAATGTAAGTGTTCTAATGTTTCAATGCACTTCATCTGGTTTTGACTTAAAATCATCTGGAAGCTCAATGTGAAATCTTTCAGTGATGACAATTATGTTCAAAAAATAAACCCAGCTCCAGTTAAGCAATTTCTGTTTCCAACTAGCCTTGCCAACAAAGGGAGAGAATGCTTATCGTTTGAGGAAAAATCAGAATCTTTGATTTTAGGATCTACGATTGCTCATTTGCCCTCCAGTTTTTCATCTGTTAAGATATCCCATGCAGGACTTATTAGGGTTACTTAACCAGTAGCTTCAGGAAATCCCATGTCTGTATTTTTTTGTAACTGACTTTCAGTTGAGCTGTAAAGAAAACATGGGACAATTTGTAGATTTGTAATTTGTAGGAGTAAAAGGGTATCATACTTTTTCATATCCTTTTGCTGTAAAGTGATTCAAGGGTGATGTCTGGTGGTCAGCACTGATAAGAGAATTAGTTCTGTAGATTTCACTGACAAAAGGGTCTCTAGTTTGCCAGTTGAGGAAATTGTGTGTGAATGTTTGTGTGACACCATAGAAGCACCTGTTTGTTTGCATAACATATATGTGCAATGACTTATCCATCCTCATGCCACAGGGAGGAGGGACAGCTCACACCAGCACTGGCCTGTAGAGCCAAGCCCCCAGAAAACTGATGCCTCCTTTAGGGGGCAAAGAAAGTGGGGAAAAAAAAAAAAAAAAAGAGGCTTTCTCTGAATGACCAAATTTCATTAACACCCCCTCAGAGAATCTGGAGGAGATCAGGACAAAAAGCTTTCAAACAAAACAACAAAAACCCAAGCAAGCAGAAAAAATTAGTAGTTCCCCAGCAAAACCTGATGCCTCTAAAATAAAACTCCTGTCCATGTTATCTTCTTTTAGAAATCTTTGTCATGAAAAGGTGTTGAAATATTTTGTCTGCTTGATTTGAAAGCAGGAGCCGAAACTCCCAGAGCATTTATTTATGTATATAAATAGCAATTGCTTCATTCAGATGCTGCAGAACTGTGTATCACTGGTGCTCTGGGAGTCACTTTAAAGGAGAATAGGACATGAACATTTACCACTTTCTACAGTTTAAGAGCTTGGAGGAGCCAGGGGATGATCCCCACCTCACAGAGCTCCTGGTGAGCATAGCAGTGCAGAAGGAGGCACCTCCCTGAGCTGTCTGCATACAGTGGCTGCTCTGTTGTACAGCTGCTCATCCCACTTGGCTGCAGAAACCCACCCAGCCCTGAGACTGCCCTCCTGCCTGAGACAGTGGGAGTGAGTGAAGGGCATGGTTTTGGTGAGATAACATCTGTTTAGGAGGTGAAGTAAGGGTGCTAGGGAGGACCCAAATGCCAGACACAGGAAGAAGGTGCAGAGGTAACTGAAAACACAAGGGTAGGAAGCTCGTGGTTTGACCCCAGCTGGCAGTCCAGCCCCAAACAGCCAGTCACTTACACCCACACACACAGGGAAGAAAACCAGAAGGGTAAGAGTTTGAGATTGAGAAAAGACAATTAAATAGGTAAAGGAAAAGCTACACACATCCAGCAATGCAGAACAAGGAATCCATTCTCCACTTTCCACGGGCAGTTCAGTATGCCATGGGGATGCTCAGCCATCCCCAGGAAAGCTGAGCATTATTACACATTATCACATGTAATAATGACTTGGGAACACCAGCACCATCACTCTGAATGTGCTCCTCTTCTTCCCCAGCTTTGAATGTGCTCCTCTTCCTTCCCCAGCTTTATATGCTGAGCATGACACCATATGGTGTGGGATGTCCCTCTGATCGGCTGGGGTCAGTTGTCCTGTCCCCTCCCAGCTCCTTGTGTCCCCAGAGCCCTCTCACTGATGGGGTGAGTGAGAGGCACAAAAGGTGCTGTATAAGCACCACTCAGCAATATGGAAAATATCTCTGAATTATCAACACTTTTTTGGTCACAAATCTAAACCATAGCCCCATACTAGCTGCCATTAATAAAATTAACTGTACCCCAGCCATACCCAGCACAGAGACTCATGTGGGACATGAGGGGATAAGCAGTTGCACCTGGCTGCCCCTGCTATTCTATGGTGGGAATAGAATCATGGATACTGCTGACCCATAGCTGGAAATTAATCCCTTCCTCAGCTCTGATGGTCTGTCTCAAACAAATGCTGAAACAGGTTGTTAGTAATATCTGTCATGGTATAACTTACTGATTTGGGAAGAAACTACCAGATCTTATGGCTTTTACTCACCTTTGTCTTTTGTAGGATATCTGGCAGATGCAATAGGTAATGTGTTTCTATAAGGAAAGTATGATCAGTACAACTGATCAACCACATGCAATCTTTAGCTTGATAAAAACAAGAATAAATATGTATTATCTTTGTGAGGCATTTAGGCAGGTGCATAAACCAACAAATTGATTGGATACTAATATAAAAGAAAACATTAGTCCTAGAAGCACTAAATATTTCCATTTTAGTCAAGTCCATGAAGCCAACCATTTGCCTGTGTTCAACAAGTGTTCAAAAAGCAAGAAAGTGTCTCAAAATCCAAGTCTAAGCTCAGGTGATTTGGTTCATGATATCTAAATCTCTGGACCGCATTTGGAAAGGCAGTGCCCCAATTCATAGGCATTAATTTATATTCCATCTGGAAAATCAGCCTTGCTGCAGGAACCCCCTGAAATGCTCCTTCAGATGATGTTTTTTACACATTTCACTGTCATCAGACTATACCAGTCAAAGCAAAGAAGAGGTGATATGGCAGTGCTGCACAACTGTGGCATTTTTTGAGGTTTGCAAATTCCAAACTCATCTAAGTGCTCCACTTTAAGCACATAACCTTAACAACAGGAGGAGGCTTCTGTCACATGAAGGATAATATCAGCATTTTGGTAGGAATGGTTCCTTTGTGCAGAACAATCTCTGCTTATTTACTGTCTGTCAGGATGGAGAACCTAGTATGAAAACTCCAAATGACCCCAGGAATCTTCTGTTCCTTTGCTGAAACTTCAGAATAGCAGTGGACAGCTTTCAGGAGCCTAAACCCCACACTACAGTGTTGCCTCTCCTCCAGAGCTCCTATTCTTCAAACTCTCCTGCAGGTCACAAGGAAATGAAAATGGAAAATTTCTTAAGAATAGGAGGCTCAGGGTGACAAGGTCTGAGTTTACAACTCTATACAGAAAAATGAGAGCAGATAAATCCTGTTTCAGTCCTTCATTAGGTGCTCTCCTTAGCTGTAAACATTCCTTGCTGGGGAAGTGCCTGGACTATGTGTTACAGATGGCCAAGTCCAGGGGTATGTGCCCCTGCATGGAAACTTGCTCAGGAAATTTGCCTGATGACACATTTCATCTGCAGAAAAGTATTTGGGTTTGATCAAAGGGTAAGCAAATATCTTTCAGTTCATGTGCAGTCAATAAAACTTGAAATGGCCAAGGACACAAGATGAACAGCCATGCCCCAGCATCTGGAAATAGTGTAAAAAGGACTTGAAGTGAGAAAAATTCTTTGATGGGCCTGTGTCACCTTGTTGGGTTTTTTCCCCCCTCCTTAAGGACTTGAGACATAAATAGCACAAAATAGCATGGAAAAGAGGGGGAGGAAAGGGAGATGATTCACAGAGGCCAGAGGTTTAATTGGGGCAAACATGTTTATGGTGTTGAATCTCACTGGTCTGAAGGATGGGAGCACAGTTCTGCAGCCTGGGAGGAATAACAGGCTCCAGTGGCAGCCTGTGGGCAGCAGGCAGAGGAAAAGGGCTGTTCACACATGAGCACAACAATGTGTTGTGTAGCAGGAAGGTTTTTTCTTACTGTGAAGAAGGTGAACATCACCAAAAAGACTACAGTTTGCCCCATCTTGTGCACTGTGAAACAGCTGTGTAAGATTTCTGGCCTCTCAACATGCAGCTCCCTTGAGTCTCCTGTTCAGGAGCTCCTGCGCCGAGCACAGAGGAGCACAATGTAAAACATCAAAGGTGTGAGAGCTTCAGCTGTGCTTGAGGTAGACCATGAGCCAACAATGCCCCTTGCTGGCATAAATGGGGATCTGATACCTCTGTGATAAATAACAGCACTGCAAAAGGGAGGGAAGGCAGGTTTTCCATGTAAATCAAACCATTAAGGTAATGAACACCAAACCACTCTAAGATGTGGCTTCCTACAGTTAATGGTGCTGGATTCTCCACCAAAACCTCTGGAACTGAAGTCACTTAAGACCTCTGACTGTGTAGGATGGGTTTTATTGTTTTCTTTTTCTTTTATCCAGTGCAAAAGACAGAAACTCCATATATGGAGTTTTTCTGGCAGAGAGGTACAGTTACTGCTAGAAGAGATTTTGTCTTTTAGCAGCTGAAACTCTCAATTATGTGTGTTAATTCTCTTTCTCTTCAAACCTTGATATTTATCACTCCAATTCAAAAATGTTGGAGAAAAAATCAAACCCTGCTACACTAACTTTAGAAACACTTACTTTGAAGCTGAATTTACACAATTGCATCAAATATACAAATCCTTTTCCACTCACAGATTATTGGTCTAGAGAACATCAGCAACTGATTGAGGGTTTTCTTTTTAATCCACTGTATATATTCATAAGTGTGTATGTGCATAAAATACTTCATGTTATTTTATTTCACCTTTTTTGATGGATTTGTTTATGAAAAAAGATACAAAAACCAACCTGTGTAAGTTTTTAGGTCTCACACCTACCAATGATAGCTTGGGAAAATTAAAAAAGAAGAAAAATATTGATAAAGGAAAATATCTGTGGTCAGGCTATTTTTTAAATACCAGAGAGCAAATGACATCTAGAAATAGAAAATATTATTTTTATCATTGTATCATTAGAACTTCAAAAATAACTAAACAGATGAGATGGAACAATTGACTAACAACTGATGTTTCATGTGATGAGCTGTAATCAGGGGGGCACATCTAAATCCATGTACTGAAGACTCAGAACTCAGCTTCCTTAATTGAAAGGCTTAACACAAAC